CACACACACACACACACACACACACACACACACACACACACACACACTGACCTCACTAAGATCACATTCATCAGCGAGCGCTACATTGAATGTGAAGACCACAGTTACAGACAAAAAGCCTCCACATTCAACATTGGATTACTAGGACAAATGGCGGCAATAATCACCGGGTGAAGGATTAGTTACACTCAGAAAATAATTGTAAACGGTTCAGTTATTCTGAGTGCTCGGGTAATAATACCCCTGATTGTATTATTATTATTATTACAATCCCATTCTGAGGCATGATATGTCGTGCATATTTTATGGTTCAAATAGATCTTTCTTTAGTTCTTTAACCCTCAATGATTCATTTAACTGATTGTGTGTGTGCGCGTATGTGTGAATGCAAGAGAGACTTTCTGCATGTGTGTGATGCAAATGAAAGGATATCATGTTGGCACATGAGGGTATCATGAGCGTGTGTGTCCATTCAAATCCATCCGTCCGTCAGACCATCTGTCATTGTCTGGAAACATTTTATTTGTTCAGCTATTTATTTACAATCACATTGTAAGTATTGAAAGTCCAAACAGCATTCCATTTTTCTTTTTAAATGATATGCAACACGCTCACACACACACACACACACACACACACACACACACACACACACACACACACACACACACACACACACACACACACACACACACACACACACACACACACACACACACACACACACACACACACACACACACACACACACACACTCACACACACACACAACATCAATATGTGCACTCACCAGACACTCCAAACAGGATCTCCACTCATTCAAACACAAGCACGGACGGAGAGACGGACCAATAATCAGTAACACGTGACTAAATACAATGCATTTCACAGGAAGAAACAAGTGTCGATGGTTTGGAAGATAAGACTCATCGGGGTAGACGAGAGGAAAACATGAGGGAAACGGGAACTTAAAGACGGAAACACACACCTCAGCTCTGCAGACAGCAGCTTAAAGTTACTCCAACAGAAAGAATGTGTGGGTTTTTCTATTTTTTTTCTTTACTATAGTATCAAAATGTATTTGACAATACTACAGTGTACCTATGCTGTAAAAATATGGTTTTAACCGAGAGACAACCAGGGCATTGATGACAGGTGTAGCTCATCAAAATAAAGCTGATAAATAATGATAATAATGACTATTAAAGGGGCACTCCATCATTATTACACATGAAGTTCAGAGAACTCTCCGCCAGTGGAAACAGTTAACCATAGCATGTTCTCTTGAACCGAAAGCCTGTATTATGAACGAGCTGCATCGTGCGTATCTATTTGAGCGTGTTGCAAGTACACATTATGTGTTTGTGTACATTTATTTTTGGTATGTAGTCAAAATGTTAATATAATAAATAAATATAAAGCACACATGTAGTCATATAAAGAGATCCACAAATGAAAATTCACAAAAACAAACAAACTGAAGCACATTCAAGATTACGATCCAAGTGAGAGGTAATTTCATAAAACATACAGGGGTTTGGTTTCAAAAGAAAGGATTCCCCTCAAATGCAGATGGTGTGTGTGTGCGTGCGTGTGTGTGTGTGTGTGTGTGTGTGTGTGTGTGTGTGTGTGTGTGTGAGAGAGAGTGTGTTTAGCGGATGGGGGCCTTCAGAGCAGCATCCACCTCCTCCTCCGTCTGCAGCGTGTGCCACTGGGCCACCGGACGCCTGGGATTGGCCAGCATCTCTGACCAGTGGCGCAGCCCGACGCCCGAGGCGCCGTGGCCCATCCAGCACTTGCCGATGGCGTCGTTGCTGCCCAGCTTGTCGTAGTCGTACACTGTGATCACCACCTGGAGTTTCTGTTCGTGGAGAGAGCAGAGGGACGAGAGAGTTAGACCACATTTTTCCGTGTATTTGAAGTTCAGGCCGATAGGTAGGAGGAAATTGTTCTTCCGTGCTGGAGGAACGTGTTCCTTGTGTTGTGTACGAACCTGGATCTGGGAGAAGGGGATCTCAAAGCTAAAGCTCTCATTGAAGTAAGGATTCAGAGTGTTTTGTTTGACTGACGTCTTCTTCTTCTTCAGTCGCTTCCCATTGTGCTGCAGCACCACCTTGACAAAGGGATCTGAGAGAGAGAGACACAACATCAGACAGTGGATCAGAAGAACCCTAACTGCCCTAACTGCCATCCTTTCTTTAGTACAAGCATGTGCGCATGTGTGTGTGAGTGTGTGTTCACCTGACAGTCCTCCCACATCCATCTTCTTCAGGTTCTTGGCTTCCATGATGTTGATCGTTAGCTTACCGGCCGTGGGGACGTAACGAAGGGAGATGCAGACATCGCCCAGTTTCTCTTGCTGTCGGGGACATGACATGTAAATGGTTGAGTTGTCACGCTGCTCAGTCCTTTGATTGCTTTAAAAGCTGGTAATGACTGTTAGATAATTCATTGTATGTTTCAGTGGTTGTCCCCCCCCCAAAAAAAAATCATGTACCTCCTCTTTCTCCCCTCCCACCAGATCCTTCCATTCTTGTATTGGCTGGGCGAGGTCTATGCTGTTCATGGGGATCTTGATCTCGCCGATGACGTCGTGTTTACCGAAACGGTCAAAGTCAAACACCTGCAGCACCAAAGTCTGACCACCCAACTCACTGTAGGGTATCTAGAGAGGGAGAGTATAGACAGAAATGGTTAACTCTAAAGTGCTTGAGATGCGTTGATGTTCATGCTGGATCATTTAAAAAATTATACTAATAATGTGGTCAACGGTTTCCTTGTAATGTTTTCAGTTCAACATGGTCTCTCTCTCTCCGGTATCGCTGCACAGACCTTGAAGGTGAAGGTCTCATTGAAGACGGGACAGAGGTTCTTGCGCTGGACTTTGGTCTCAAACTTCTTCTTCTTGTCCGGCAGCATGTAGACTTTGACGTAGGGATCTGAGGACCCACCGACGTCCATGGCCGCGAGGTCCTGCGCCTGGAGAATGCCGACTATCAGCTGGAGAAGGAGGTAGAAATAAGTTAGACCGGAGTCCCAAATCCTGACGTGGAGCTTAGCTTTTTGTTTCTGTTCTTTTCCTCAGACGTTGGATATTGGTGTGTGTATGCTTGCGAAATACTACGTGCAGGCGCGTGTACCTGGTTATCAGTGAAGCTATAGTCCAGGGAGTACTCCAGTTTGCCTAAGTTCTCCTTCTCCTCATCTTCCTTCCCATCCTCTCCCTCCTGGAAGACACGCAGCGTGGTTAGCGGTTAACAGGCAATGTTATTAAGCTCACACATTTTGTACTCAAGCTCCCGGGATATGCTGCCGTCTCTGCGGGGCACTGTGATTCCCGCTTTAAGGCACATATATTCAGCTCTAAAGGAGTCAATGTTGACCATACAGTGAAAAAGACTTGGTTCAAAGTTTCAAATATTTTAAAGAGGCCTTGGTCTCAAACATACCCGGTGGAGTTTTGCCACTACTAGCAATATGAAGCAAGGTTTTTATGAGTGAGATTTGTTGTCAAAAGGTTCAGTGTTTATTACTTTTGATTGTTTACAAGAAAACTCCCCAGGGCACCTTTAAGGTTCCTCTGTGGTTTCCCGCCATACCCTGTGAAGATCATACTCACGATAATCACGAACAAACATCAGGCGCAAAAGCATAGATAAAAAGATACAGATTATTTTATCCAACAAGTTTCAACTTAATTCTGTTTTCTATATTGATGCTTGTTACCACAAGCTTTGCCGGTCAAAAGGAAACAACAGCTGTGACTCCGTCATCCCTTTTGGCTTTTGTGCCCAGTTTAAGCTGTCAATTCGTCCATTACTAGTCTCAACCTGGGTAAAAAGCCAAACAGCTGTGGACAGCGCGGCTCTTACTGCTGCTAACTCCATCTGTTGGCCTGTGGAGGGTGTGGTCAGCCATTGTACATCAGTTGCATCTTTTGACCTGCCGTTAAAGGAGTAGTTCGACATTTTGAGAAACATGCTTATTCGCTTTCTTGCCAAGAGTTATACGAGAAGATCGATGCTACACTCATGTCCGTAGATTGAATACGACGCTACTGCCAGCAGCTGATTAGCTTAGCTTAGCATAAAGACTTAGGGGGGGGGGGGGGGGGACCGCTAGCCTGGCTCTGTCCAAAGGTAACAAAATCCGCAAACTTGCACCAGTATTTTTTACATTTAGACAGATCCAGTCTATCTCTTTCTTTTTTTTCCACAGATTTTGTGCTAAGCTAAGCTAACCAGCTGCTGGCTGCAGCTACATATTTATCCTAAAAACATGAGAGTGGAATCAATCTTCTCATCTTACTCTCTGCAGGAAGGAGAATATTAAGCATATTTCCCACGTCAAACTATACCTTTAAAACAAACAATGCATTGAACTCTAGTCCCTACAATGTTTTTCTTCTATTTACTCAGTCAAACTTAAATTACGAATAACTTATAACTTCAACTGTTGAATTTTAGACCAGCTGAATAACTGAAACCACAGAAACTCTGCTTACTTGAGAAAATCTGTGTAGTAGTAAATATTTGACAAAATTCTTCTGCAACTGCATCGGTAGCAGAATTGCCATGGGACATCTCAGGATCACACAGGACAGGACCCCTCTGGTCCTTTCCTCACCTTCTTGTCGTCTCCATCCTCTCCATCCTTATCCTTCTTCCTGCGCCCTCGTCCTCCTTTCCTCTCACGGACCTTCTTGGGCTTCTTTCCCTTGTTGCAGCACTTCTTGTAGATGCAGAATCCCATGCAGACGATAAGGGCGAGGACCACGACCACAATGGCTCCCACCGCCCACATGGGCACTGGAAGAAGGAGGCAGAAGACAGGCATGCAAAGTCATCAGATGTGGAAAAGGTGACAAGGACACCCTCATTTTTATTTTGACTGCACACTGACAATCTTTACTAACACTGATTGAAGTATCATTTTCACTGTCAACTTTGGTAAACCATTTTTATTTTATAAAAATAAGGAACATTTCAAACACTTCTGTAGTGCACTGAACAAACACTTTCCCAAAAGGCTGCAGCTCACAATAGGCTATTAACCTGTTAGCATTTATTATGTAATGAAACTGAAAATACTGAAATGCATAGAATTATTAAATCAAACGTGTGCGTTAGGAGGAGTTTCACTGAAGTTAATTCCACCATGGCTATATGCCAAATGCCTATTACTTCTGTAATCGCTTCATCCTGTTCTTTTTTTACGTATCAAGGTTCGTCTTTCCTTGTCCCGGTGATATCTGGGTAATGTTAGCATGTTGGATGTGTTACCATTCACATTAACCTACAGCGGTGCAGCCACGCCGAAACAACCACCTCAACTCTCTCTCTCTCGTGCTGTTAGAGCCAGAGGCGGGGCTTCCAGCTCCGACGTTTTCATTTGCTCTCACCACAGTGTGACTGACTCGCACGCCAATCAGCTTCTTGTGCTAACCTAAGCACCTGTAGCCGACAGCTTTACAGGTAAACATTTCAAAACAGTGTGAGATTAGTGTCATGCAAAAACCTCCCATGGTTGTAAATATGGTTAAAAAGGCTATATTGATTGGCCATCACTAGTCCAGTCTGAAGTATTTAAATGATTATCATAGGCTCCAAGAGGATACATTCTATAATAATTAAATGTTTTGAAATGTCAAATACTTTGGTTTATGACCAAATGCCTGCAAAAATAATGTTTCCCATCAGCCTCAACTGTACTTTGTGTTTAGTGCTAGTTAGGAAATAGTAGCATGCTAACCTAAGACGGTGAGCATGACCTGCTTTTCATTAGCATGTTAGCATTTTCATAGTGAACCTGTTAGCATGGCTGAGGTTAGCATGGCTGACTTGTTTGATGCTCAAACCTGCAATAACTGTTATGTTTTGGCCACTTCAGGGCAGCAGAAATGTCTTTTCATCACCTTTTAAGTTCACATGATGAACGTACCATAAAACTCATTTACACATCTTGCAGATACAGAGAAACATTAGAATTCATTTGGAGTTGTGTTGCTGCCCACCCTGTGAATCTACGTCCAATATTCACTCTCTTTTTGCTTTGTTTTTGGTCTCTGCCAACTCCTTGTTAGCTGCTAAATGCTCCAATATGTTCACCAGCTAATTGTATGTGTCTGCTGTTTGGTGCTGAGCAGGTAGTGTGCTGTGGGTTTATAGAGCTCTTTAGTTGGAAACAGCTGTCTGCTATAAGGATAAAAAACGATGCTACAAGAGCGCTGAGAGGGGAGCTGCAGATCTGTTTGTCAATTCTCTGTAGTTCACAATGAGCGACCCCCTTTTACATTGTCATTTGGTACATTGTCATCGTAAAAATATTGATTTATGGTCACTCTAACATATCAAAGACAAATATTTGATCATTCTAACTCGGTGTCTAGACCGCAAGTGTCACATCATCGACACTGAAGCGACTTCTTTATTCCGGTTCTGTCGGGCAGCGAAGGAGCAGCCAAGCTTTCTGTGGAGTGATTTACAAGAGTATGCCTGATGTATTTTTCCATAAATACTGTTGCATATGATTCAGCCATAATTATACAATGAACTTGACAGCTGACCTTTATTTTGATTTCGATTTTTAGCATTCCAAACTTTTTTGTTTCCTTAGACGTGGGCTTCCGCACCTTTGGCAAGAGAGCCTAAACAAAGGTTTTTTTATGGTGAAGGATGTGTCTCCATAATTCCATAATACTACTCTCTACTATAACTTTGGTTGAACTTCTCTTGCAGAACAGTCAGTACAGAGCTGTTTTTTTTTTTGCCACCTGTAGAAGACTTCAAGAAGACATTTTTCTTTAAAATGGGAAAAGCTTGAATGGTACAAGAAGCGAGATGGACTTACTCTTGAGTTTATGATCTGGAAGAGCAGAGCGGTCACATGAAGAAATGAGAGAGGACAGAATGAAGAAATGAAAAACACGAGGATTCATAAGAAGATGACATGATGGCTCGATGATGGTATGTAGGTTATAGATTGATTTTGATTGGTTTGTGTGTGTGGGTCTCTCAATGTGCAGGTTTATCTGCCGAACTGGCTTCAATCTTTGTTTCCTCTTTATTTGATATTATGTCCAATATAGGGCATATTCTTTGAGAACATACCAAATTGAACTTAGTTTGTATTTTGTGTGTATTTTAAATATACTGTATATGTGCAGTTGTGTGTGCTCACTTGGCAGGTGCGTGAGCTCATTGAAGAACTTGTTCTTCATGCTGGCGAACTGGTGGTTGGAGTGGTGCGAGGGAGGCGGTGGGCGCTCCTTCTCCTCCTCCTCGGCCGCCCTGCGGGGCCGCCCCCCGGCCACGCTGACCAATCGCATCGCTGCTGTGGGAAATCAAAGGAGAGAAAATGACAAACGGTCAGTGAACTAGTAATCCCCAGATACATTTTTGAGACGTTAAACGAGGCCTCCACAAAACACTCAACCCCCAGAGCTGAAAACACATTTATTCTCTTTTCAGATGTGTCCTTCATTCAAACTTCACGCTATTTGACCTTTCACCTGGTTTAATCTCTTTAATCCTCTCTCACTCGCCTCACTCTCCTCCCTCCCACCAATCGTTCTCTAGTTTCAAGCATCTCACAAAGACAACAAGAAACTATTCTCATTGAGGACAACTGCTTTATTTTTATTTCGTTTTTTACTAAAAAAGAAGTGGATAAAGTACTGAGATCCTTTACTTTAGTTGAGGTAGCAATACTAAACAAAATGTAACATCAAACCGTGTTTAAATGTTGCACTGGAGCCAATTTGAACTGCGTTATACACTGCTGGCTAGTTTAATGTGTAACAGCCGCTAATCATATATTTGTGAGAAAAATCTCAAACTGCAGAACAACATGTAACTAGCTGTACAATATTATCCCTGGAAATATAGTCAAGAAGAAGTCTAATGTAGCATTAAATGGAATACACCAGTAAAGTTTAATACAGTTCTTAAGTAAATACTTTAGGCTACTAGCATATTTTAGCATACTCTAGCCTACTTACACAAACGTTTCGGTAAAAAAGTAATTCAATGTTTACCTTTTTTTTAACTTATTCTATGCATCGCTTTTTTGTGCTCATGCTGATCAGCTGAGAGGGGAAAAAAAAACATTCATGTCAGCCTCCAACATGTAGTCACAGGCTGGATAGCTTTTTGGCTAACCAGTCGAGTGAAGTGTATATTACAGAGCTTCAGTAAGTTTTAGTAAAACTTTACTCGAGTATTTTTATTATGTGCACATCTATACTTATTCCTGCCATATATTAAAATTGAAATGTAGTTTTTCTAAGTGAAGATATGAATACGAATCATGAGGTTAGCTCCAAAAATGATATTAATTGAACGACCTTTACATAAATCAGACCCACATACTAATTTCAGGCTTTACAATTTGCAATATTTCTCTTCTACATAAACACAAGAATGACCTTTCTCTGCCTCTCTTACGCCTCTCCCTCCTCTTTTCATTTGTCCTCCTCCTGATCATCCCTACTGCCCTTGTTGTTTCCTTCCTCCTCCTCCTCCTCCTCAACCTTTCCTTCCTCCCTGCTTCCTTTCCATGATGGCAGTGTGTCAAGAAAGAGTAAAACCTGAGCTCAGCAGCTCATTGCTTGCACATAATAATCCCTCCGACTTTGTGACAGCATGGCCGGTGGATACGCACATACAGACACACGCGTACCCTGAGGACATTTCATTTGCTTTAATGTTTGGACTGGTCACAGCAGGGAAAGCACAGGTGTTGCTAATGACATTAGCAATTGATATTCACATCCGTGCTTTTCCTGCTGTGGCATGTCAAAATGTCTTCTGCCTTATATAATTATTAAAGTTATTAGTTCCTGCTTTGTTCTATTTAAAGAGTTTGTATCAGTCTTAACCCTTTTAATGAGGCACACTGTGAATTTACCTTCATGAAGATGCAGGCTTAAAAGGTGTATGAAGTGCAACTAGAAAGCTGGGTTTACCTTTTGCCTAATACTCCCTGCCTGTGATCCAATACGTAGAAGCAATAAAGTAAGAAGAAATATCAGTTTCCGGTAATTATGACAATCTGTATTGTGCCCTGTTAAGAGGTCAGTTGTTGACATTTAAACACACATCCATATGCCCCACCCGCGGTACACATCCCTCTGTCGCTGCGCAGCGACGTAACAAGATTAATTCAATTTGTGGTAATCCACAAATCCCTAGGCTTAAACAAATTAAGGACAGTTTGCCTCTCTGCGGCTCCGCCCCTTTTCTCCGCCCATCCCGCCATCATCTCTCTTCACCCCTCCCCTCTGTTGTCCCCCGTCTGTCTGTTCATCCTCCCCTCGTGACAGCTGGAGTAGATAAAGACACGCTCAGATGTACACACACACATCATATTTCCATAACGAGATGTGATTTAGGTGGCGAGCTGTGTTACATTGACCCTTCCATCTCCCTGGACTGCAGGAGCAGAGGATTAGAGAGGGAGACCTCAGTGTCTGAAGAGATAGATAGACAGATAGATAAATAGATAGATAGATAGATAGATGAATCAATTTGGTATTTTACTCCCAACTACACCCATGAGGGTCAGGGTTTGACTGATAAGGGATAGTTTTTAGTTTTTAATTCAGTAGTTGTAGTCGTGCTTTCTGCCTATATTATAAGAGAAACAATAGTATTGACTCTTTTTTTGTCCATATTAGGAGGGAAATATTGTTCAATTGTCTGATTGTAAAAGCCCCTCAACACTATCTTTGATTGAAACACACACATCAGCCATGAGATACATGAGGAGCAGCCAATTTACCAAATAAAATGCAGTTAAAAGAATGCAAATAGCCAATGGGACCTCAGGTATATTAAAGTGAAAGCACAATTGATAACACCAGTACCCACTGGTACTGTAAGTGCTTTGGATAAAAGCGCTGTGTCACTCTGCTGTCTCTGCAGGGGCTCTGTGTGTTGCATAACGACATTTTAGCTGAAGTTCAGAAAACCCCAAAATCCGGATGATGACCACAGTTGTTATCTGGACCACAGCAGATTTAGGCTGGACTGCTGCCAAATTCTTAACATCAGTGAGTCAGAAACCTGGTCAGGTTGATTAGGTAATACGCGTCTCTGTCCGGATATACTGCAGGATGAGTTAATTATGCTGATATGAGAGAACTCCCAACAAATATACAATTTGGCCTCCTGGTTTATAGTTTGGGGAAAGCAAAGATTAGAGGACTGATATTAGGTTGGAGTAATATGTGGTGGGGCTGCTCTGGGGTAAAAACAATGCTCCACAAACAATAGCAGAAACTGGTTTGAAGCTACATTTTGGAGGATTTGTAGGTTCTAAAAAGCAAAGGCTAGTATATAAAGTGATTAACAACTAATGTAGCGGAAAAACAGGTCTATAGAAATCTTGTCCACAGAGACATGGTTTGTCAAAATATGACAGCAGCCCTTTATATTAACATGCTGTAGGAAAGAACAATGTCTGTCATATTGAACAAAAGTCACATCATCCAAAAATACAACGTCAGTCGTTGTGCGGCAAAGAACCACCAACGCTTGCAATGTGACGGCACAAAAAGCTGAGAGAATAAGTTATGGATGAAAATTCCATTATTATTATTAGTCAGTTGACAAAAGAAAACATTAAAAAAGAGAAAAATGACTTCGATGTCTTTTATCTTCCAACCACAAAGCACAGACTAGAGCGGTCCAAACATTCAGCGAGAGACATGTTACTGGTTAAAGCACTTTGGATGTTCACCTCTGACCTTTGGGAGCAAGTTACAGTATAGTGAGCACATCTTAGCTTGGAAGCTTTCAACAACATCTTACAGTCTTTAATTCTTACATCACTAAGTGCAAAACCAAAACGTCGTTCCTGAAGGAGCAAGAGAGCACTGACGGTCATGTGTTCACTCTGTAGACTGTCGCTTGTAGTTGTTCTAGGGGCTCTGTTTTTAGCCGTGCTAGCTGCACGGCTCTATGGACAGCAATGTTCGTCCACCACTTTAGTCTTGACTGAAATATCTCTACCTCTTCTTGTAGATATTCATGGTCCCCAGAGGATGAAGCCAACCGACTTTAGTGATTCTGACGTTTTCCTTTAGAGCCACCATGAGGTTGACTTTTTTGATGTTTGAATGGATTGCTGTGAAACTTGGAACAGGTGTTCATGTCCCGCACATAATGACGTGTGAATTGTTGAATACTATACAAAACTAATGACATTCACATAAACCTCAGCTGCACTTTGTGTTGAGTGCTAATTGTCGCTGAGAGCATATTGCCATGCTAGCATTAGCATTTAGCTCAAACCACCGCGAGTCCCACATTGTCTCCAAAAGCCAAATAGTGGGAAACACACTTTACTGTGACCTCAAGGGAAGGCATAATACAAAATCAGGCACCAATGAGATTTTCAGGTCTCTGGTCATTTCAATACTAGAAATACTCTCTTCAATAGTGTTCTTTGGTTAAATTTGACAATTTGTAATTTGTGTAATTGTTAGGTACAGAGCTGAAACAACAATCAATCATTGAATCATCAGAAAATGAAATGCAACTATTTTGATAATCAATTAATGATCAATTAACCATTTAAGTAACAGTTCTTTTCTTGGGCTTCTAATCTGGATATCTGCGAGAGCCTTTTTTAAACCATTTTCTTACATTTCATGGACCAAACCATCAATAATTAATCAAGAAAATAATCAACAGATAAATCAATAATGATGAGAATAGTTTGCATACTAATGCATACTTAAACTGTGTGTGATTTACTGTGATCAAGCGTTAAAATATGATTTTGAAGTACATTTGAGCATAAATGTCCAGTATATAAGGCCTCATGTCACCTTGAATTCAAACAGCCATTGTAGTTCCAGCTGAATCTTAACCAGATCTTGCATTGTATTATTATTATTATTATTATTGCCTTTTTAAGGCTCTCTGGTATGATCTCCTCAGTGGTGGAAGAAGTATTCAGAACTATTCCTTTACTTAAGTACCAATACCGCTATGTGAAAATACTTCAACAAGTAAAAGTCCTGCATGACAAATCCTACATAAAGTACTGGTTTGGCCCCTCTAACTGATACATTTGTATATATGATATCAACAATTATATATACTGAAGCATCAATGAGCGAGCAGCATGTGACTGTTTTAGCTGCCGGAGGTGGAGCTAGTTCCAACCGCTTCATACATAGTTTCATACACAGGGACACCAGACATCTGTGAGGGGTCGTGAGAGGAAAAAGAAAAAATACAAGTTTGTACGTTTTTGGACATTTTATGTAATCTCTGATTTTTAAAAAAAAATTAATTAATTGAAATTAAACCACGGGAGAAGTTTAGAGGGAAAAATATATATTTATTGGAGATGTTAATAACTAAAAAATAAATCTGAAATGTGACCCCAACTCCACAGCTTGACCCCAGAAGCCATAAAGGTTGGAAACCAGGTGTTTAGTCTTTAAAATGGTGTTTCATTTGAAAAGCTTATCATATTATCCATTTATTCATCTAAAAATAACAAGTAACTAAAGCTGTCAAACAAATGTAGTGGAGTAGAAAGTACAAAATTCCCCTGGTGTATGTATGTAGCGGAGTAGAAGTAGAAAGGAAAATAATAGAAATATTTACGTGATGTACTTTATTAACAAATGTACTTAGTTACTTTCCTCCACTGATCTCCATGAGACAGACTGGGGGTGAACAGCCGGCGGAGGGATTTTGTCCGTCTCAAAGCTCACGGCTCTAAACTAAACTCGAGGCGCCATTAGGCGTCTGACACACTGCCCCGACTATTGTAGCCTTTCCTGTTTGACCAATTGTATTGACCAATACAAAGGTTCTTTATTTTTTATTTTTGAGGCAAACAACGTAAAGCCAAACGACGTTAGGGTCAATATTAACATAATATTGCTGCAATCAGAATGTACTTTGTAGCCTGAATTACTTCTTATAATGCAGGTCTGAAAGAGAAGACACGTGTCCTATTTAAAAATGTTGAAAAGGGGTTTAATTAAAATTGCATGTTTAGTTTTTTTAGAGAGGGGAGGGGCTCCTACAAACAAGGAGTGAGCATTTAATTCTTCCTCTTTTAAAATTGTATTTTAATATCTTAAAGGAAGAGTGTGTAACATTTAGGAGGATTTATTGTCAGATATTGAATATAGTATTCATAAAAAACATGTTAATCACCTGAAACTAAGAATCATTGAGTTGGATGAGAAGATGGATTCCATGAGGGGGGGGGGGGTTTGCTTTTGTCCACATTTGGCAGGTTTTTTAAAATATTGTGAAAACAATATTACCAAACAAGCTGTCATTTTATGGTAAAACACTGTCGTGTCCACTCACTCATACCACTGACTTATTTAATTTGAGAAATATTTAATTGACATGAGTTGTATTCAATCGTTGTTAGCGATGAGGGAGGACCTATCATGACATTGATGACATTATCATTGAGGTGAGCATTGGTATATTCGGTTGTATGAATGCAGTCCTTATAGGTTGCGATAGTCTATTTATCCAACATTTTATCTTAGGTTATCTGATGAAGCTTTGTATGCTTATGTGTTTTCTACTGCGCATGTGATGCTGCTAAGGTGTCTTAAAATCTGACCTGGCAACACTGAAGGAGAGAGATATCACACTTCTTATTTAATTCTTGGCAAGAAAGTGAATAAGTATATTTCCTAACATGATACCCTTTTCCCTCGGGCTCTTTTACTGTTTGCTGTAGATCTGAAGCCAAAAAACGCCAAAAACATCACACTAGACTCGTCCCTCCAACATCAAGCTGATGGATTTAAAGGTTATACTACCGGACACAATGTCAAAAAACTTCATATACGCTGTAGAGGTAAATATCAGTATCGTGGAGGTGTACTGGGATTGCACATGAACACAGATTCTGTAAATAGACATGTATTAGCCTCCCTTAATCCACTTAAACTAATCTCTGCCAGGCTTGGAAAACATCTTCCACTATGCGTAAAATCAAATGTTTCTCTCATGCAGGAACCTTCCCAGCAAAGTGCATTAATCAAATGACAACAGAATGACATGAAGATGAGCATTAAAGTATCAAATCCAATAAATTGACATTAACCTTGTGCTCCCTGGGAGCGTGGCTGCTTCTTAACAGATTTTCATGACTGAAATACACGGAGAAAGCCAAAGCAGGGGAAATAAACTGCAGCTGAAATTAGTCCTTAATGGATCCACAGAACATTAATAATGTTTCATGATTAAGTCACTTTCAAGTAAGAGCACCAAAGATGTGTTGTTTCCAGCTTATTAAATGCAATGGCTTGCTTTATATTTTATTTCTTTTTTCCCCCATTAAGGTAAATTGAATACCTTAATGAATACCTTAATGAATACCTTAATTCTTTTGACAGTTTGTTTGGAATAAGCCATTTTAAAACAAATCATTTAGCTATTCTAACAAATGAACTGATAACTTTAAAATAAACTGTAAGTACAAAGTGAAAACAGAATGCAACTCACCTTATTTAGTGCCGGTCCCTCTCGGTTCTTTTGGCTTTTATTTTATTTATTTTCCTGCATCCAAATGTGCTCTTGATAAATCCACCACCACTGACTGATGAGAAGTGTTGCACACAACTCCCTCTCTCTCTCTCCCTCCCCCATCTGTGTTAATCTCCACAATACCCCTCACTGCCAACTACTTACGGCCCACCTACGCTGCAGAAAACTCTTTAAGAACCAGTTCATCTAACACTGTCCCTTTAAATCTGATCTCTTGCAAAATCATTAAGAAGATTTTACAATGTTCTTGTACAACTTTAAGATATTCGGCACTCTGTTTAATAAGTCAATTCAATTCAAATTAGAGAGACTTGCATTGCAGTAGTTGGAATAATTTTGCCTACTTTGCAAACTCAAAAGCTACGATCTAAATGATACGTGAAAGTTTCCATATCTTACAACGTGCTTGCCGTCCCACCCTCCCTGTCCCCTTGTGAGTCCTAATAAGCTGAAACAGTGGAAGCACGCAGAGTCTAATTTCAGATTACAAATAGGGATGAAATTAGACCATTTAATGATTAAAATAATTGCATATTCCCCAAAAAAAAGGCTGAATAAAAGAGACCATGAGTCAAGACCCTCAGGGGTTGGAGCTTGAAGAAGGTTGTAGTAGTTGGAAGCAGTTCAAAGTATTTCAGTGCTTTCAGTTAAGTTGCCCTGCAGGCTTCAGTAGCCCGGACAGTAGTGGCTCCATTTAGCACCCTGGACAGCAACCAACCGAACAGAGCTGTCAGTCACAGGGAAGCCCCCCCCCCCCCCCCGACACACTATCATTTTAGTTAAAGTGATGACTCCTGAAGAACGGGACTTGGGCAGTGCTGTCTTAGGGTATACAATCTGTGGCTGACTGACCCAATGGTGATTGATTATGCACTCCAGTTTATGAAGGATTACACTCGCTGCTCTACACTCAGTGTCTAGTCAGTAATTTTAAGGTTCATCAGTGCAGCAAGCAATATATTTGGAAGGTGTAAGTGACTGAGTGCAGGACCAAGAATATCCATCAAATGACCATGGTGCATCACAATACCATCTATAAACAGAAGTCACTTTGGAGACATAATTTCCCTCACTTTTGTCTTTTTCTTGCGTCTTAGTCCGAAGGAACTATGCAAGGAAAGAGGAAACGAGACGTCCTGTCTTCAGTTACATCACGTGAAGCGACTTCTGTTTCTGATGACGGCGGCTGCTGCTGATCACAGCTGGATCAGCTGTCAGTCGGCTTTCACAGCTGGAGAGACTTTTGACGGAGTTTGTCTGTTCACATGTGAACTGTACTTCTACTAATAAAGACAGTTATCTCTGTAGCCTGTCACCTGTTAAACTAACTGCATTGAGTATTTATACTGTGTTTTGTGTCCCGTTTATATGCACAGGACCAACTTCTACTGGCGGAATGCGTTTGTCTTATGTATTTTCCATTTGTATGTTTTGAAAGTCTGATTGTGAAGTCATTAAATATCCCAGAATATGATTGTGGTTTCTTTGGAACACTGGAATTCATTTATTAGGCTGCATGTTTTAACTCATCAAAACCGACACTCATGAATTATCAGCCCCACACGACTGAATGGAAATGATGTAAAAAGTATTTTTTCTCTCCAGCTCTCTGACTTTAATTGTATCCATAATAAAAGTTAGAGGGAAATGTCAGATCATGAAAGGACAAATCTTTCAAATAAATGAAGAAAGTTGTTTGTGGTTTTATTGTTCAGACCAACAGTTAACATTTAAACCAGATGGTGAATCAGAACACAAATCAAATCTAAAACTTGAGTTTAATCCGTGATCTGTCTTCACTCTGGTAAAAAACTCGAGTGACGTTGAGAATGTTAGGATCAGTCAGATTTTTTCGACATGCTATACTGCCACTTCATGCGACTTGCTATACTGCCACTTC